TATTATATATCAATTAAAAAAATCCACAGTTACACTCCTTTCTTTCATTCCACTAATTTTAAATCTGTCTTATTACATTATTCTAAACAGTCAGTGTTTATTCCCTTGCTTTCTAGCTGACTATCTGGAAATAAATATAGGTACTTACCTGTTCTCTCTCAAATATGTCAATTAGATGCTCAAGGCCAAGGTTCCGCACAAACTGATTTATGCTAAAATCTACACCTGAAACTGGGTAAGAAAAACTCACAATGAACTTTCATGCATGTATTGTAAAATAAAGTATACACATCTCACACTGTGATAATAATAATGAGAGAGACAGAAATTCCTGGTCTTCTGAAGATGGGGAATAAATATGTGTATCACTAACCAGCGGCAACTAGTACTTATCTACCCTAGTACTCTAAGATTTCTACCTCCTCCAGAGCAGTCTTTGTGCTTCCACGAAATAAGCAATTAATTAGCTACCAGAAATGCATGTGCAAACAGAAAATATTTTGAGACCTAAAACATTATAGAAGTAACTTTTCCAAGGTATCAGATCTAAGAATAGGCTTTTAGAAACTAGATAAAGTTTGTAGTAAAATACTACTCAATATGGAGTCAAATTTCATTTGACTTCTCTTTTAAAACACAATTCACCATTTTGGTTCTGTACAGCAAAAAAAGGGAACATTTTAAAGATTCTGTAAGGGGAAAGTACTAAAATCTTATACTACAAGACTTTTAGACTTCTGTTCCTCATTAATGACATCATAAGGAATAGGGATGCTGCATATGTCACAGTTACTGTGTACATGTGTGGGAAACTTCACACTTGTGTGTTCTTTTTACCATAAGGTAGAAAATGCTATTCATTCCTAACTGAGAAAGCCTCACCTTCTTTTTTCTCCAGAACAGTGGCTCCCTCTGCACTGTTTGCACCAACAACAGAAGAAAGTTCAGAAAAACTACCAGACAAGTTGTCAAGACTACTTGCAGCAGACAGACTGGATGGACTGGATGGAACAGAAGACAGGGAATCAGCTGTAGAACCTGTAGTCTGAGACACACTTATAACCTGAGGTTTGTAGCATGTCGGTAAGGCGGAAGGAGGCATTGCCGCTGTCAGTAATGCGCTGACATCATCTGCCTACAGAGCAGAAAACAACTTCTTAAAAGAGGAACACTTTGACACAACATTTTTTTCCTAGAATTCATTATCATTATTCCAGACTTCTTAAGTATACTGCAAAATAAGTAAATGCATATTGGAAACAATATGCATTTTACCATGCAGTTTACAAATGGCCTTTTGTGGCAACAGCATACATGAAACTGTAAAATGTTTATAAATAAAAACTACAATAAGATAAAAAGTAAAGACTTTAATTCTAAAAAACTTCAGGAGACAGTTGAACAGAATTCATTTGCTAGGAAAAATGCTTCTAGTGGCAACCAGAATTTATGAAACAACCAGAATTTATGAAACAAAACAGCTACTCTGAGTATAGCTTTGAATTGTATTATAATACTTAGAAAAAAACCACCCACAAATTTAAAGCCATATAGTTTCCTAAATTTATGTTATTACAAAGTTGGCTTACATTTTATTGCCAAATTTTTTGTACTATAAGTACTGAATTAAAAGCATCAAATTACAAGCATGAATTCCTTTTGCTGTTGTTTTGGAGTTTGGGGCTTTTTTCCCCTCCCCTCCCACTCCATCTTGAAATAAGGAATCTTGAGCAAGAAAATATTTAAAGGTTTATAAAGGCTCTACTGACTTTCCTTACGAGGCATGTATAAACACCAGAGAAACCACAATATTTTAAGTTTTGCTGAAGCTGCCGTATTACTATTTTTTTAAAGGATAGGTTTTAGATGAGTTGCCACGAATGGCAGCTAAGTAGAGATTTCCCAAGAGGAGCCCCATTGCTTACAGTGACCAGGTCCAATGGTGTTTGTCCTTCTTGGTTTTTCAGAGTAGGATCAGCCCCATGTGCCAATAACAAGGCACAAAGCTGCGTCCTTCCTTTCTGGGCTGCTTCATGCAGAGGTGTGAACGCCCATTTGTCCGTAGCATTCACACATGCGTTATACTTTATAAGTAAAGCTGCTACATCAACATGCTGGAAAATGAAAACACCTGTTAAATTCCAGGGTACCACAGTATATTAAACTAACACAGAACTGTTACTGATACTTCTCTACAATCCTCACTCTGAATTTTCTTAGAATACATTTATTTTTTAATTATGATTTAAAAAAAGTATTAGAACAAGGTATTTTCTTCCTCACCTATAACATACTAGTAAATTTAAGATTTCTTCGCTTGTGAAAAGAGGACAGACTACAACAGAATCCCAAATCCAGGGGACTCTGAAGGAAAAAAGCCTGAATTTGAACTTCCAGTTTGGAAAGTACTCCAACTGTTTTGATTAAAGCCTTGATCCAAGCACAAAGATCCAGGAAGTCCACAAAAACAATTAGTGTCTCAACACCAGCCAAATAAGTGAAAATGAGATCTTGCTGATAAACTTTGACTGGCACAGGTAAGGAAATGCATTTTAAGGAACACCTTTGAGGCTGCTGGCTTTCTAGGCGTACATGTTCAGCAAATTCAATACTGCAAACTCCAACTATGATTTTACAAATACAATGAGCTGACTATGATTATTTTTTTTTTTTTTTTTACATTTTAGAAATAAGATTACATTACAACTCAATGGCAAAAGCTTTCTAGAGAGTATTGGCTCACAGTGCTGTCAATATGTATCACTTTTATTTATTTTAAAAATAAATAAAGCCTCAGAAAGTTTGAGATATTTACCCCATAAGATGCTGCATTATGCAGAGGAATCAAGCCTCCTTTATCCTGTGCATTCACATCTGCTCCATGCTGCAACAGGTACTCTGCAACCTCCAAATTGTTGTAACCAGCTGGAAGGTTGCAAAAGGACAGAATAAATAGAACGTATTAAAAAAAAAAATCCTCAACAGGCTGTAGAGAAGTAATAATTCACTTAAATTACTTGAAAGTTAAGGTGTCAATCCCAGTGAAGACAGTGTATTATCAATTAGTGAAGACAGCTTCACCCTATTTAAGAGTGTTTGGTTTTAAAACCTCTGTCAATAAACAATAAAAGATCCTCTGCAGCTAGAGAGAATAGGTAATTAAAGTCATTAAACTGTTTAGAAGAGGAACATAAGATTAATATGCATAAAATACTATTTTAAAAA